TTGCTCCCATCTGGTAAACTTTTGAGGGAGAGCCCCAAGTTTCCATGATATCACAAAAAGAGACACTTTACTCTCAATCTGAAAATGTCAGCAATGGTTATCAGAGATTATGCTCAGGGTAATTTAATATGTTAATTCCTTGTGAGTTTGAGTCACAGCTTACCATCCATGTTGATGCCAGTATTAGTGTTCATGTGGAAGCAGCAGGAAACAGAAAGCTGGATTTCATTCTGCCCCATGCCTCATCAACCAGATGGTTGACTATATCAAAGCCAGTAATGCTGATGTCAGAGGCGAGAGAACACAGCTGGATTTTCAGGTTCAAGGGGAAAGAGGGAATCTATAATGCTAAAAGTTTGGAAGGAAATTGCTTTTGCACTGGTGGTTAGAGCCAACTAGAACTGACGGAGAGTTTTTAATGCTAAGTCCTGCAGCAACATTTCTGTGTAATTGCTTTTTTTGGGCTATGGTAGGATTTGAATTCACTCTATTTCACACCTGCTAACCTTGTTACTCATGCCAGTCAGATAGTTATTGTGGGCCAGATCTAGAGGAGATTTTAGCACTGACTTATTAAACTCCCACCAATTCCTATGTCTTTTTATCCCTGGGATTTCTGGTGACTAGCTTAGAACCAAAAAGTGCAAGGATGGAAAATAGCTTAGAAGACCAGCTCCTAGGAACTGATTGATGACAATTTTCACAAGTATGCCAGTATAATTTTGCACCTTGACTAGAATGTAAGAAAGGTAATACATGCTGTGTTTTCTGGTTTGGTCATTTTAGGGCTGGTAGGAAACCTAATTGCAGGCACATGGCACAGGGAGGGCAGGACAGGACTGTTCCTCTGTTAGGATCTACTCAATAAAGGAAATCTAGAAAAAGGGTCTCAATTTTATTTCACTGCAGTTACTGCTAAGATGCCCATTGTCCAAACCTACTCAGTCTATTTGAAAATGAACACTGACTGACTTGCACAAAACTCAGTCATGACTTCAAACGCCAGGCACCTGGCATCTGTGTTACCACATCAGAGCTTTTACCAATCCTAGACTATTGCATGGCAGTGAGGTCCACATCTAGCCATACCTGAAACACACCTCCCTTCTCCTCCCCCTGGCCTCCCACTCCACAAGAATCCTTCTCTTGCTTGCAGTTTAGGTCATTAATCCTTGTTTTCCAAGCACTAGCTCCTTCCCAAATAAAGAACTGGGGGTGTAGATGGGGGAGCGGGAGGGGACCCTTCAGGGTCTCTTGTGATACAAAAAGCAGCTACTTAAATCTCACAAAGCAAGGGAGGTAGGATGAGGAAATTTTCTCTTTCATTCTTTGTATTCTTCTATTGCCTCAAGAACAAGGTAAAATTAATATCTCAATGAATCATCCTGCCAGATAGAAATAGGTGACTTGTAGGTTATTGAAGTTCAGTGAAGACTAGTGGGATATGCATACCCTATCTAAGATTGAATCAAGTTTTGGAATGTAGAACCAGAAAGTGATTGAGCAATGATTTGCAGATGAGTGCTTGATCCAGGAAGATTCAGGCCATATTTCACTAGGACAATAATTGTGGCATTTGGTATCAAGAGAATAACTTATCTTGGAAGAGAGAGCTATTTAGTCTTAAATGTACAGAAACAAAAAATAGTAACTGTTTTTAGGAGTACCCACATATGTGTGCAGGAAATGCTTAAGCAGTAACCCTCTGTGATGCTGCAAAAAAAGACAGTTTCTCCCACAGTTGCTACAGCAAAAGGGGTGTTGTGAATTTTAACCCCCAGGAATTAGCCTATGTAAATGAATTCTGGGTAGTAGGGAAGATTTTTTCAAAAAGCACTCAGTCCAGAAGTTGCTCTTTTCTTGCCAACATTCAGGATGATTTATACAACTGTTCCTACTGAGGAGAGCAGAGAGAAGGAATTTTGCAGCAGAACATGATTGTGGAACTGGTGGCAAGAAATGTCCCCTGAAGTTGTAATGATTGCACAGAAGCAGAGTAAAGAGATCACTTGAACCAAGACAAGCATATTTATTTATTTATTTATGACTTTATTTATTTATTTATTTATTAAAGATTTATTTATTTATTTATACAAGCACTGGGTACAGTCAGAAGTGTGGGAGGGTGAGAGAATTCACCAGAGCCAGAGCGGGGAGCAGAGCAGGCAGAAGGACCGAAGTACACTGCTGAGGGGAGCAGCGGGCGGCAGGAGAGGTCTGCGCGCCATGTGGGACCCTTACCCGGCAGCCGGGGATGGAATGGGTGCTGCAGAGGCTGCGGGCAGCTTCGCAACCCAGCGCTCAACCGCTGTGCCACTGGGGAGGCCCTTGACTTTATTTTTTTTTTAACAATATTTGCTTCCCCCTCCACCCAGATTGAGTCCCCATAGAATTTCCTTCCCCAAGGCACCTGTGCACCATCCCCACAGTCCCCTGTGCTCCTCCCTCTCTTCCTCTGATCCCTCTTCCTCCTCCTCCCCTGCAGTATGTCTCTGATTTATAATTGTTTGTTTTGCTGTGTTGTGTTTTGTACTGTTATTTTTTTTTACACTGATGTCTTATTTGGTTCCCCTATATTCCTGTTATAAGTGATTTTTTTTTTTTTTTTTTATATAGAGGCATGTTTTATTTATTTATTTATTTGTTTGTTTTTGTTTATACATGCACTGGGTACAGTCAGAAGCGCGGGAGGGTGAGAGAATTCACCAGAGACAGAGCGGGGAGCAGAGCAGGCAGAAGGACCAAAGTACACTGCTGAGGGGAGCAGCGGGCGGCAGGAGAGGTCTGCGCGCCATGCGGGACCCTCCTCTGGTGGCCGGGGAGCAGCCGGGGATCGAACCGGCGCTGCAGAGGCTGCGGGCAGCTTCGCAACCCAGCGCTCAACCGCTGCGCCACCGGGGAGGCCCTTCCTGTTATAAGTGAAACCATCCAATATTTTTCTTTTTCCTTCTGGCTTATTTCACTGAGCATAATTCCTTCTAGCTCCATCCACGTTGCTGTGAATGGCATGAGTTTATCTTTTTGATTGCTGAGTAATATTCCATTGTGTATATATACCACATCTTCTTGATCCAGTCATCTATTTTGGGGCATTTGGGTTGTTTCCAGGTTTTACCTATTGTAAATAGGACAAGCACATTTATTTTAGCTATAAAAGTATACTGATGAGACAGGGTTCACAGTTAATACCAATTTCTTTTTACTGTCCATTATTTTTAAATAACAACTAGCATATGTTTATGTATTTATAACATATAACAATAAAATAACAAAAAAAAAACCCTAACATTTATTGAACAATAAAATATCAAGTGCTGTGGATTTTCTCTTCTTTGTATCCACACATCTGATGGTGACTTCTCCCCTGACTCTGGGTTATGTTGCATGGCTTGTATTGGTAAATGGGAAAATAGAATATGACTGAGGCTTGGACATGCAAAGTGCTGGAGTAATCTTGTGCTGTTGCTGCTCTTAAAATCCTGAGCAGTCATGGGAATGAGCCCAGGCTGCCACACGAGAGGATGAGGGACTTGTGGTCCACTTTCTGGGATCATCAGAGTCAGCAAAGAACTGAACTGCACAAGCAGGGTTAACTAGCTGATTGGCAACTGACTGTGAATGCATGAATAAGCTATACTGATGCTTGAACTCCCCAGAGAAGTCCAGTCAATATTGTGACCTACCAAACTATGAACTAGATAAACAGTTCTTGTAAGCCACTATGTTTTGGAGAATTTTGTTAAGCAGGTTTGTCATGTAGCAATAGCTTATGGATATGGTGTGTCTTACATACATACAGCTCATTTATTGTTTGCAACAATCATCCATTTTGGTTTACAGATGGGGAAACAGGGGCAAAAAGGGGATGAGAACACGGACCAGTCTCAAACAGCTTGTAAATGGCAGTGATGAGACTGAGGAAAACTGATTCTAGAGTCTGTGCACTCAACTTCCCCATGTGATCAAACACTAGCTATGTCTTAGTTAACTGCTTATCAAACCAACCAAACAAACTGTACATTATTTCAAAGACCAATAAAATGTTTCATTGAAAATAATTGAGGTGCATTTTGAATTGTTCAGAAAGCTGTTCGATTATTTGCAATGAATCCTCCGACTTGTCTCTGAAATGTTTCACAATAAAATGAACCTCTCAGGGAACTTCTTGGAGTAAATGAGGGCCATATTTACTCACCTTTTTTGAACAACTATAAAACTGGACAAAACAGATGAATCAATGGGTTTCAGACACTGAACAAAGGTATCAACAGGACAATGATTCCTGAGACAAGGGAAACAAATGAGGTGAGTCCTACAATTACAACAGCTTACTGTCTGAAGAGTTTCCAAACTGCAACACAAAAAAGGGCAGCACAGAGACTAGCAGTTGTGCTGAGCAAAGGAGACAGAGTTTAAAGAGAGAAAAAGGTGGTTATGGGAGTGGTGAGAGATTCACAAGAGTTATCTTTGCATGTTTGTAGAAAAAAAAATCCTTGAATTCGTATCATTCCTTGACTTTGAGTGATTGTCTGTGTATGCATGTGAGAAAATTACCTAAAGTCATGGACAGAATCCTACTGGAAAAGATTAGGCAGATTTCACAGAGCTGGGAATAGTTGGCAGTCTCACTAGCCAAAGTGGTAAGACCTCTGAATATAATCCTCAGCAGAAGATTTGGATCTACACAAAGGAACCAAATGGAATGGAAATGGTGAATATGTGAGTAATTGTGGAAGACTTTTTTCTAATTAAAAAACTCCTTAAAGATGATTATTTAAAATTACGGCAATGTGTTTTGGATTAATGATATATGCAGAAATAAAAATATAGTAGCACAATAGCACGATGACTAGAAGGGGAGAAATGAACATATATTGTGATGTTTCTTATACATGAAGTGGTATAATATTATTTGAAAGAAGATAATTTTTTTTTTTTGAGGTGAGCTTTAAGACCTCCTCCAGCCCCCATGGGGCCCCAGCCTGGAGGCCTGCAGGCCATCACTTCTTGGTCCAGAACCGCTTGTACCGCTCTGCATCAAAGCCATGGCCTAGCACCGGCTCCTCCTCCTTCATCACGCGGAGCTGGACCTCAAGTTTTCGGAACCTCGCCCGCTGCTCTTCTGGGGACCGGCTGTCCAGGTCCAGAGGCATCGCCAGAATCCTTCGCGGCTCTCGGTAGTGGATATGGATGGTGGAGCCGTCCTGCCTGACCAGGCGCACTGGGTAGAGGCGTGCGTAGTTCTGCCGGTGCTGGCGTGTGAAGGGGGCTCTGCTGCTGGCGGCCCGCCAGGAGGACACATGCGGGCGGCAGCGCGTCTGCACACACAGAAGGCGTGCAGGCAGAAGGTGCTATCAGGGGGCATGGCCTTTGGGAGGTGATTAGCGTTAAAGGAGGTCCTGAATGCCTGCGTGCTCCCCTCTCTGCTGGTGGCCTGGGAAGAAGCCCCCGGTGGGGCTGAAGCCAACCCGGGACAGGCTGCCCACGGATGCCATTCTTCTTGAGAGCCCAGTGTTGAGTGAAGCCGAGGGTCAGTCAACAGGCCTGGCGTGCAGTCTTCTCTGCAGAGGCTCGAGGACCAGCGGCCCCCATGGCGTGGGCCAGGAGGCCAGGCGTTTGGTCGGGGCTGCGCGCTTGAGGACCCAGAAGATAAATTCTTCTAACAGTTATATGCTTAGCTATGGGAAGGAAAAAGTTTTGAGAAACAGGAAGAGGCTTTTAGCCATGGTGAAAATAGCCAAAAAAATTGGCTTTAAGCCTGTTGAATCAACAGCTTACCTCAGTGAATATATTTTTACAAGCCAACTAATCAGTGTCAATCCTTGGAAAATAACCATATTTCTATGTACAATTGATCCTCACTATCTGTGAATTTTATATTTGAAAATTCACTTACTGAAATTTATTGTATAAACATACTGGCATATTATTTATCCATATAAAAGGGATGAAATTCAAATACATGCCACAACATAGATAAATCTTGATGACATTATTTTAGATGAAATAAGGCATAAATAAGAGGATTAATATTGTATGAGTCCATTTATATGAAATATCTAGAACAGGCAAATTCATAGAGAAAGGAAATAGATGGAATTACTAGGGATTGAAGGGAGAAGGAATGGGAAATTATTGTTTAATGGTAAGAGTTTCTGATTGGAGTAATAGAAAGTTTTGGAAAGAGATAATAGTGATGGTTTCACAACATTATGTAATTAACATCATTAAATTTCGCATTTAAAATCACTAACGTGGTAGATTTTCTTTCATATATTTTACCAAAATAAAAAACACACCCAAAAAATCATGTCTAAAGATCCCAAAAAATATCAATAAGGAAAAACTATGCAATTTATTTGAAGTTTATGGCTAATGCATTAGGTTGTTAAATAAGTTATGTGTGTACAAATCCAGAATTATACCTGGTGATATAGGAAACACCTCTCTCTCTTAAACCTTTCATGTATCTTCCCTTTCTATGCACAGTTCTCTAGTCAAAGGTTAACATTTTAAAAAATACAGTCACAAATCTCTATCATATTCTCTATTAAATAAGACATGTGTGAGGGTAGCTGTTTAGTACTAGGGGAGAAGTAACTCAATGAAAACTAATAACTAATGTGCATTTTTTTTGGTGGTGATGTTCACCAAAATAATTAGAAAACCATACTGTAAAAATGGGTATAATATTTTTGAGCAATACTATATAGTTACCTTAGCGAAAATAATTTTGAAATTTCTTTGACAAGATCTTAGTGAAAAGTCTGGTGACCGGGCCTCCCCGGTGGCGCAGCGGTTGAGTGCTGGGTTGCGAGGCTGCCTGAGGCCTCTGCTGTGCCAGCTCGATCCCCGGCTGCTCCCCGGCCACTGGAGGAGGGTCCCACATGGCGCGCAGACCTCTCCTGCCGCCCGCTGCTCCCCTCAGCAGTGTACTTCGGTCCTTCTGCCTGCTGTGCTCTCCGCTCTGGCTCTGGTGAATTCTCTCACCCTCCCACGCTTCTGACTGTACCCAGTGCTTGTATAAATAAATTTAAAAAAAAAAGTCTGGTGACAGCAGTGTACTGTCTTAGAAAGGCCTATGTGTGAAATCCTTATACTTATATCTCATTTTTTTGCCAATAATTTCACTTGTTTTTCTAATTTTTTTCCTAATAAGCTGATAATTTGGCAAATTTACTGATAAAATTTGTCTTCTTTTTCTTCCCCATATTTACCTTTATTGAGTCAAATGGCTAAAACCAGGATTGTAAGAATTGCAAGGCGGGAACATACTTCACAGGAATCTAATCAGATGAATGGGGAAGGTTGCCTTAGGCAAGATCCTGTGCAGAGCTCTCTGCAGGAAAAGAACTGGTGACATGTGAATCTCAGGGTTTCCAAATGTGCTCCTAGATTATAGTATTTAAGACCTCTGTCAGGGAAACACAAGCCGTGTATATTATATAACACAGTCAACAGAATCTGTGGGCAATACTCTTTAATCAAATGCATGGATATTTCTGCAGTGAAATATGCAAGGACTATAAATAGCTTCCTGGACATTCAGGTCAGGTTTGTGGACAAATGAATTATGAAAAAATTTTCAATTTTAGAGCACTTCATGTTCTGTAATTGCAGATAAAAGACTACATAGCTTTCAGAGAATCATGTAAGTATGGTTTGAGTTAAAATCAGGAAATATTAAAAAATAAAAGGGAATTCAGGGATTATCTTGTCCAACCTTTTAACCAGCTAGGAAATAACAATGTTAAGTAAAAATTTAATATATCAGCCCTGCACCATCTTCTTTAATTCTGTTTGACCACCATATTAATAAATGCCAACAGGAGCCTCCAGTTAAGGACTAGATCTAGATAACAGTTGGTCAAATCAAACAAGTTTGGTTCCTAAATGGCATAGAATGAAATCGGGATAGTGGTAAAGCTTTCCAAGGCGACAGAAGTCTAAACCTTCAGGTTTCCCGCAAAAGTCTATATCAGCAGTTAGGTGTGGTTGACTGCTTAGTCTGAATGAGCACCATGGAGACTACTGACTGATGAAGGTAGTTCTTCCTGAATACTCCATTTAAAAATAATTTTCCAGGTGGCCTTCCCCGGTGGCGCGGCGGTTGAGTGCTGGGTTGCGAAGCTGCCCGCAGCCTCTGCAGCGCCAGTTCGATCCCCGGCCGCCGGGCGAGGGTCCCACAAGGCAGGCGCGCAGACCTCTCCTGCCGCCTGCTGCTCCCCTCAGCAGTGTACCTCAGTCCCCCTGCCTGTTCTGCTCCCCACTCTGGCTCTGGTGAATTCTCTCACTCCCCCGCACTTCTGACTGTACCCAGTGCTTCTATAAATAAATAAATAAATCTTTAAAAAAAATTTTTTTTCCAACTTGCTTTTTCTTCAGCTTTATCAGTCTCTTATTTTCTGCTAGAAACTCTGTTTATAACAATATCTAACCTCTATTAAGTGTCTACTATATTCCAGGAACATTCTTACTCTTAATTCTCAAAACACACAAGGTGGATATTAACACCACCATAAACAGATAAGGAAACTGAGGTTCCAATATTATGTCAGAGACTGAACAAAAGAGATATTTCTGAGATTTTAATATGGCTTGATTTTCCTTTTAGAGCATCCTTGACGTTCCTCTTTTAGAAAAGTAGCCTATAGAAATCTAAATATAAATATAGATAAATTAGAAACTTATCAACATTATACAAATGAATTTTCTTAAATAAAATATAAGTAAGTTTCTGGCAAATTTCATTTATTAGTAATTAGTTACTTGATGGAGAATCTGGGGAGGCACTGCCAAGTACTGACCAATAAGAAATGAGGACAAAGAATTCTGAAATAAAAAAATAAATCACTGGGAATGGATAGCTAAATATATTCCATTTTTCACAGATACACATATATTAAAAGTGGATTGATTTGGGATGGAAAATTATTCTTGTTTATGTAGCTAGAAGAAATATTCTAGAAGACCTGCATTGAAAAGAATTCTGTCAGATATTATTAGTAGAGTCATAACACTGAACTGGAAAATAGAGACAAGATTTTTATATATGACTGGGCAGACCAGCTAAATAGGCTATGTAAATAGGTTATCAGTAAAGAGTGATTTCTAAAACCCAACCAAAAATATTGCTAGTTATTTTAATCTATCAGGGTCAGGGTCTTCAAATTTGAGAACCTGGCCCCTTTTCAGTTACTTTTGTTCAGTTATTACCTAGAGTACCCAAGTACTCTCTAGAAGTATATTTATTAGAACTATGGAAGGTGATTTAGCATCATAGAACAATGAAAAAGAATTAGTAGAGAAGATGTGATAGATTCTATGAAAGCTTATTTTGAGTAAATAAAAGTTAACCTTCTTTGTAAGAGTGTTGAGAATGAGAAAGTGACAAGAAGGGAGAAAACGGTGTGGAAGGGAATTGAAAAATAATCTTCAGTTATAATAAGCCTCTATGATTAGTTAACAATATATGTGCATGATTAAATAAGGCCCAACCACTGAGACATTAGACTGATTAGGGAAAGAAATTCTTCTAAATACTCCATTTAAAATAATTCTCCAGTTTTATTTTTTCAGTTTCATCAATCTCTTATTTTGTATTGTATCATTGCTTTTTAAATCCAAGAATTTGGTTTTGTCATCATATTAACTTAAGCATGCCTCTTTCCTCTTTATTTATAGACTCCTCTACATTTTGATTGTTAATATCTACAAGATGATTGAATAAGTTTCTTTCTTTCATAAAAGTGACAATAATGAGACCATTCTTCATTTATGGGCTTTTTTTTTTTTTTTTTGTGCTAAGTGTTCTATAAGTGTTAAGTATGCTAAGTGTTCTATATGAGTGTGTTAACTGTTCTATGTGATTTAATCTCATTAACTCCCCAAGCAAGGAGGAAAGAGGTTATGCTATTCAAGGTCATAGAAATTGAGATGGTAGAGTCAGAATTTGAACATAAGTTTCTGCTTGACTTTAGAGTCTTTGTTCTTAACCATTGCAAAGCAGCAGACCTCCCTCTGGGCATGATCTTTGATGGTGGCAGGGCCTTAGTCCTGAAGCCACTGTTTTAAGACCATCCATCTTGTTGGAGGGAGGGAGAAGTCTGAAAGAGACATCAGGGTCATCTGTTTGGTCTCTCTAGCTTCTTATACATGACACTTTAATCCTGACTACCCAAAAATACCTTTGGAAGAGTAGAGAGATAACTATTATTTTAAATCTCAAAGTTAGGTCAAGAAAGAAAACTAGTCAATGATTAAATGACTTGACAGGAGAACTGGAGGGTATTGAGCAATGCTGGGATAAGTTCAGTGGAAGACAGAAAAACAAGTCAGATTGATACTTGCCATCACCCTGGGATTCCTAGTCCAATGAAGTTTGGATCTAGAATTCTTGGTTCAGTCTTCCTTTCACACATGGATTGCTTCTCTGTCACTAATCTTTGTCCAACAGAACTGTGTTGTTCAGATTTATCTTAGCATACCTTGGAACTACCCATGGACAGCTACTGCATAAACTTACACAAAGTAAATTGAGGTCCATGTTTCTATAATGGATGGAAAGAAAAGCAACAAAACAAACAACTCATTATGTTAAATCTGATTTTAATTCTCCTTAAAAAAATAAAGGAACTGGCATGATGTTTTGGCAGCTTTCTGACAGCACCCACATTTGATTTGATGAGATGTGTGCTCCTTTTTGAGTTGTGTCCAAAAAAGGGCAGACAGATGGAAGGCTTTTACAAAAGGAAAAAAAAAATCCTGGTTAGCATGAGCCTGGAATTCCTAATCTGCTTTTATTTTTTTTCTTTTAAAAAGCAATAAATAGGTCTTAACAGATGGGCTAACACTTGAGTTAGAAGCATTCTTTGAAAAATTACAAGCAGTGAATGCCTTTTACAAATGTAGAGAGTTCAAACACATGCAAATCATAGCAAAGCACACAGGGTGAGATTCAAGTAACAGAAACTTTCTGGGAAAGGAGATTTAGTGAACTAAATAAATATATACTCAGAGTTATGAAACAATCTGCTGCAGCCCTCTACCCCAACTTTTCAAACTGTGAATCATGGCCCATCAATACACCGTGAAATCAGTTTAGTGGGTTGTGACCAGTATTTTTGAAACAAAAGATGGTGATGGAGGAACAGGAAATACTGGCAGTATTTTTTGTTTGTTAAGAATAAATACTGTTTTGTGATGGTTTATTCTCCTTATATACTATTATTGGGTCATGATGTACTTCCTACTATAGGTCATGGCTAGAAAAAAATTTTAAGGCTAGTCTTGCAGATGACTAATGCAACTGTATCACAACAAGACTCCATTCATGAATAAACTTATATAGTGCTAACACTTTAGTTGTGTATCTGAGTATGCCAAGAATAGTCAAAGAAATCCTACTTGGCTTGAGCCTAGTTGACCAATGGTGTCAAACATCCTACCTATCAAACATACTGAAAAGGATACCTGGGGCCGACTCAGAAGCCTCATGACATATTGTCATAAGATGAACCTTCAGAAAGCACATGGTCGATTGTAAAACTGAGATCAATCTGCCCTTGGACTTTCAGACTACATAACAACTATTGTAATTCAAATTATCTAATTTCCTTTTTAGTCATGTTTTCCAGACTACAGCTCAACCACAAGTTCTCCACAGATACAACTAAGAAAACAGTGAGATAATTAGGTTCAATCAACAAGAAAGATCTAATTCATGTCTAGCAAATCAAATTTTATTAAGCCATTCCTAGTCATTTTCCCCTTCCACTACCTTATAAAACATATCTTAGCCTCCAAAAATCAGAGACAGATTTGAATCTTGTCTCCTGTCTCCTAGCTGGTTGACCTCACAATAAACTTTTTCTCTTCTCAAAAGCTAATGTCATAATAATTGGCTGATGTACACATCAAGCAGAAAACCTTGCTTGGTAATAATTACCTTTCTTTTATGAACGCAAGTCAGAGATGCTACTTTCAAATGTAAGAGAATAATGTGATGAGGTGTATGATAAAAATCAAGAGACCCAGAAGCTAATCACAGAGAAGAAGAAATGACAGCTTTTTTCCCAGTAAATAATTCTTAAGGAAAAAAGAACAGTAACATTAATCTAAAATTTTTTGAAAACTTACTATATCCCATGACATGTGAAGTGTTTTATGTGAATTATCTAGTAACCATCCAAGGAGACAGGTACTATTATCACCTTCAATAAATGAGGAAATATATGCTCAGAGATGTACAGTGATTATCCAAGTTTGCAGTTATTAACGGTGCAATCAGAACTTAAATTTAGTTTTGTGCCAAAACTTGAGGGCTTGCTGCCTTGGTTGCCTCAATTTACTGCATTAATTATCTAGGCTTACAGTTGTTCTCTCTGCCCAGAATAGACAGTAAGGACTTAGCTCAATGAATTATCCTTGAGTACCATTTTTCTTCTACTTTCCACATCTAGTATATTACCTCTCTATTCAAAATATATGATATGCCATATCCATCCACTTTCTCTTCATGCTGAATCTTTTTTTAGAGATTTATTTATTTATGCATACATGAACTGGGGTACAGGCCAAAGGTGTCGGGGGTGAGAGGACTCACCAGAGACAGAGTGGGGAACTGGAGGATTGACTGAAATACACTGCTGAAGGGAGCAGCAGGCGAGGCAGGAGAGGTCTGCTGCGCCATGTGTGTTGCTCCCTGGTAGGTGGGGGATCGAAACTGTGCTGCGGGGGCTGCGGCCAGCTTCATATGTTGCGTCTCAACCCCTTGCACCACAGGGAGGTCCTCTTCTTTCATCTTAAACCAAACCACTATCACTACAGAATAGTCTTCCATCTGGTCTCCTGTATGTAATTTGTACTGCCCAATGAACCATTCTCCACATGATGGCTATAGGAATTTCTTAAAAACATAAATCAAATAATGTCCACCACTCTTTCACCTGAAACCCTCCGCTTATTTTTATTTGAGCTTGGAATAAAATCTAAACTTTTCAAGACCTACAGAGATTAGCCCTCCCTACTTCCCCAGCCTCATCACATACTGTCTTCCTCTAGCTCTGACTTGACTCAACCTCAGACATTGTATTGGCTCTTCTATTTGCCTAGAAAGCACTTTGTCCAGTTCTCAGCAGGGCCGACTCCCTTCCCACACAAGACTTTTTGGTGCTATGTGGATGAGAATGTGTTCTCTGATCCATCTACCTCAAGATGCTTAATACCTTCTCAGATCCTCTGTACCAGTTACCTCACCAACTACTATTACTTTTTGTAGTACTTATTCACCATAAATGAAGATACTTCACTATTTGCATACTTGTTTTTTATCTCCCAATTTAAGTATCAAGGCACTAGGACCTTATCTGTGTTATCCTTGACTGTATCTCTATTTAGAGGAGGACCAGACTGGGAATAGCACTCAAAATATCTCTGAATGTGTGAATGAATGAACGAGAATGCTAAACCTAGACAAACTATGAACAGAGTGAAACTAGAATCTTTCTGGTCCTGCCAGTTGGCTGTGTCATTTTGAAGCCAAAAGTTCTGTCTGAGAGTGGCTCCCTCAGTCACTGACTTATTTGGTTATCCTCAAAATATTAATTGTCATCACTGAGAGAAAGTCTTAATATGTGGTAATTGTATTATCTTACCATTATGAATCTTGATTCCTTTATGTGCAAATTAAAGATGAGAATAAATCTATCTATTGAAAAATAGGCAGGAGATTTGAAAAGACATTTTCCCAAAGAAGTCACACTGAAGGCTAACAGGTAGAGGAAAAAAGTGTTTGAGATCACTAATTATCAGGGAATGCAAACTGAAACCACAGTGAGATATTATCTCATATCTGTTAAAATGGCTATTATCAAAGATAAGAAATAACAAGTGTTGGCAAGGATGTAGAGAAAAGGGAACCCTTGGTATTATTGGTGAGGATGTAAACTGGTGCAGAATGGGGAGTCCTCAAAAAATCAAAAATAGAATTATCATATGACCCAACAATTCCATGTCTTGGTATTTATCCAAAGAAAATAAAAACAATAACTTGAAGAGATATATGCACCTTCATGTTTACTGCAGCATTATTTACAATAATTGAGATATGGAAACATCCTAAATATCCACCTATAGATGAATGAATATAGAAATTCTGAAATATATGTAATATTATTCAGTCATCAAAAGATTAAATCTTGCCATTTGTGACAACATGGATGGACCTTGACAGAATTCTGTTTGTGAACTAAACCAAGCAGAGAAAGCCAAATATTATATAATTTCAATTATATGTGGAATCTGAAAAAAATGCTTATAGATACAGAGAAGAGATTAATGGTTGTCAGAGGCTGGGGTGGTGGTAGGAGTAATGGGCGAAAGGGATCAAAGGATACAAATTTCCAGTTATGTAATAAATACATTATAGGGATATAATTTACAGCCTGGTAATTGCAGTTAATAATACTGTACTTTTTATATTTTAAAGTTGCTAAGTGAGTAGATCTTAGCAACATAAAGAAAAAAAATTGTGTAATTATGTATGGTGAAAGATGGTAAATAGACTTATTGTGGTGGTGATTTCACAATATATACAAATACCAAATTACTATATTGTACACCTAAAACTAGTATAAGTTTATATGTCAATTATACCAACAAAAAGGGAATTAATCTACCTAGCACAGATGTAAGGATTAAATAAGAAAGTAGGTTGAAAGACAGATATTTGTTATTGTGATTTTTAAGGTATTTTGAAGAAATGGGAGGTAGATGAGGAAATAATTTTTAATTCCAAACTTGGGAAAGTATCTCCATATGGATGTCACACTTAAGGTATCATTTCTCTTCATCCTCACAATCAATCATCTACCCGGTTCTATCAATACTCTGTCTCCAGAAAGTGGGGACATCCTTATTTAACCCCCATATCTGAAATTGGGGTCCATGAATTTGACTAGATGAGTTGACATGCCTGGAACCCAAATAGTTTAAAAAATATTTCTTTTCTTTCTTTTCCTGAGGAAAATTCATTTATACCTTTCTCCAAGATATCCTGCTTTTCAGTGCCACACAAATTTCTCCTGTGCAGTGAAGATCAGCATGCTTTCTTGGGTTTGTCGATTTCAGTGAAGGAGATTCAGTGAAGGAGAAAATCCTCCTTCAATTTCACTCCTCCCGTTCCTCATGTGATTTAATTTGTTGCCTAAATCCAATACAATTACTCCTGGGTATCTCAGCAGTTCTAGTTTACTCCTAAACTCTAACTGGCTGAAGTGGCCACATTTTTACCAAATCAGTCTTACTTGCCTTTCATGGTCTTCAAGGAAGACACTTGTGTTTTTCTTGTGTGTCTTGCGCTGTTGCTGCTAGAAAACCACTTTAGTTTATTCTTATTTAAAAATTATTTTTATTCTGGTTCATGGTCTTTCACTGCCCATGTTCCTCAAGTTCTCAGTCTTTCTATTTAAAACTAAAAAAAAAATTAAATTAAAAAAATCAACGGAATTAACATTGGTTTAATGCGATTTAAATTTCAGATGTACAGCATTGCGATTCAACATCTGTATATACTACATAATGATAACAACCAAAAGTCTTGTTTTCACCCACCACCATAAAATTGACCCTCTTTACCCAATTTTTATATACTTTCCTCTCTGGTAACCGCCATCTTGTTCTTATAATCTAAGAGCTTGTTTTGTTTCTTTATGTCCCACATATAGGTAAAATACGGTATTCTGAATTTTAATAAACTCCATTTTCCATTCTTTTATCCTTTCCCATCTAATTATTTACCAGTTGGACTACTGTAATGACCACCAAGTGGTTTTCTTGCCTTTAATCTCACACCCCTCCAATCTAACTTGCTGTTACTGTTAGTACCTCATCCCCTTAGACCCATCTCCCGACTTTCACAGTGACAATCAGGTAGTCTTGGAAACAAATTAAAGCTGGAGTCACAGAGCTGGTGAGGCATGGCTCCTAACTTTCTTATCTATCTCAAAGGAGCTACTTTAATTGTGCTAACTGTGAACCAAATAAGAGGGTATTGCCCCAGTGGGCCAATTCCAGGTCTGACTGTGTACTAAATTGCTGGTTAACCTGGGCAGCTTACATCATGTCTCTGAGCCTTAGTATGCTCATCTGAAATCTTGAAAATAATAATAGTTAACATTTTCTTTTTTGTATTTTCTATGAGCTGGGCACAGTTACAAGTGGTCTACATCATCTACTTAATCCTTCTAATAACCCATAAGTAAATACTACCATTATGGTCTATGTTTTGTAGATAAGAAAAACGAGACACAGAGAGGTTAAGAAAATGTCCCAAAAGAACACAGTTTAGGAATTGTGTGTACTGTGATTCAAACCCAAGTAGTGGCTCCAAAATACGCACTTGAATGCTGTTAAAAAAAAAAAAAAAAGAGTTGAATTAGATGAACTTCTGGGGTCTCCCAATTTCTAAATAATCCTTAAATTCATATGCCAGAGAAGGCTGCTGGTTCCCCCAACAAACACAAAGGGCAGGAA